CTTAGAATACCTGCGATAGCAAACGCCGAGGCGTTGCTTTCGATATATAGCCGTAACGCCGGGTCAAAATGCCTTAATAGGGGTACTTACTAGAAACGCCGCTTAATCTCTTAAAACGTATACTCCTCGGCTACGCCCTACTAGATCGGTCCTAGCTTCCTGCCTTTTACGGCTCCCTTTGATAGTACCGTTAAGGGTACTATAATCCTCGAGTACTTAAAGATAAATCTACGATAAAAATTCGCAAATCCTAGAAAGGACTGCACCTCTGTTAAGGTAGTTAGTATTAGCTACGCTCCGATTGCGTCTACCCTACGAGGGTCTATCTTTACGCCGCCGGGGGTTACGACGAACCCGAGGTAATCGACCTCCTTTATAAAGAATTTGCACTTTGCGTACTATACGTAGAGTACGAATTTGCGGAGCCTCTTAAGTACTTCGCGTATATCCTTTATATACTGCTCGCGTATCTTGCTATAGATAAGGATATCGTCGAGGTATACTATATAGGTAATATTAACTAGTCCTACTAGAGCTCGGTTAATATACGCCTAGAACGTCGCCGGGGCGTTAGTTAGACCGAAAGGTATAACCTTATACTAGAAGTAACCGTAGCGCCGCTAGCGCGTACGGAACGTAGTCTTCTAGCGGTCGCTTTCCTTAATCTTAATACGGTAGTAGGCATCGGCTAAGTCTAGGTACGTAAACTATTCGGCTCCTATAAGCCTGTCTAGCGTTTCGCCTATAAGAGGTAGGGGATACCGGTTTTTTATCGTAATTTCGTTTAGGCCGCGATAGTCTACGTATAGTCGTAGTAAACTATCCTTCTTTAGTACGAACAGTACCGGCGCGCCTACTTTACTTATACTAGTCTTAATCTAGTCGTGTTCTAGTACGTTAGTAATATATTTGTATAGGTACTTAAGTTTAGCGCCGGACTAGTAGTACAACGGTCGAAACGGTAGAACGGTGCCTAGCCGTAGGTCGATCGTATACTCTATACTATCTACTAGTTTGCTATACTATTCGTCTATAGGAAACAAGACGTCGTAGTAGTCCTAATATTCTATCGGTAACTCCGCAAGCTCTAACCCTATATCTGTTCTACGTACTATTACTACGTATACGTAGGACGAGTTCTTTAGGTCCTTAAAGAAATTAGGTACCTCTCGGACCTTAACGTATAAGTGCTCGCTACCGTAGTGCTATTCGTCGGTAGTACTGTCTACTACTACTTACTAGGTACGACGCTACGGCCGCCCTAGGATAAGATTAGGTTCCGGCGTATCGTAGGCGTAAAACAAGCCGCCTATCGTACGCTCGTTACCTATAGAGTCTACGAGGGTTATACGGATATAGTATACTCTATAGTAGTAGCCTAACTAGCCTATAAACGAGCTCGCCGGCGGTAGGAGTACGTTCCTACGGACCGCGAGGTTATACTTTAGTACGAAGCTACGCGATACTACGTTAATATTAGCGGTATCGTCGAGTAGTATAGTAGTAGGGGTATACCCCTTATACGTCTCGACTTATCCTTCGAGGATACGAGTATAGTATACCTAGATAGGTAAAGGTATATCGCCGTTAAGATTAGTATCTAGAGATTACGACTCTTCTCTAATACCTTCTCTTTTTTCGACGCTTGCTCTTTAGATACGGTAACCCTACGAACTGTATTCGCCTTATCGTAGCTTATATAGTTAGGGTATACGGAGTCGGTTGCGATATGTCCCTTCTTCTTATAGGAGTAATATTCTAGGTTCTCGTACCTACGTACCGTCGACGGCGTTGTAGTCGATAAGGTACGCCCGTCGCGTAGGGCCCTGCTCTTACTACGATCCTATCGATCGTAGTTTCGCGGTACGTCGCTCTCGGTACGCTTGCGTTTGCCCTACGCGCTATAATCGCGCCGATAGGGCTCGTCCTTAGTATAGACTACTAGAGCGTTGTCTGCTTATTCTAGGCGCCTTACTAGGTTTACGAGCTCTACTCGCGTATTAGGGATAGTATGTCCCTTAACGATATCCCTACGTAGCGACGGCTTTAACTTTGCGAGGAAGTAGCGTATTAGCTACGCTTGCGTATAGTCAAACTAGGCTTCTAAATAACTAAGCTATACTACGAAATAACGGACGCTCTAGTCCGGGCCTTAACATACCCTTTTATACTCGATTATTACGCCGATCTAACGGTTCGACTAATCGCCGATAGTATTACGGAACTATCCCTTAAATTCCTCCTTAGTATAGTCCTCGGGGATTATATCGGAATACTCGTCGTACTACGTCTTCTACGCTTCGCCTACGAGCTATATAATACTGTATAGGACCTTGTCTTAGTCGGTTCGATATTCTTAGAAGGCGCTAAGGAAGACGACCTCGAGGTGCCTAATAAAGTTACGATATTCCTTATCGGTGTCTCCTTTAAACGGCTTAGGTTCTCGAATCTTAGAGCCTCTATATAGGGAGTAGGTACGCGACGGGTTCGTAGCCTATCTACGTACGTTACGTAGGTCCGTCGACCTAAGGTCTTCCTCGAGTCCGTTAAGAAGATCGGGCTCGGTATCGTCGTCGTCTATAGTAACTATAACGGCTAGGGTTAGTACTCGGCCCTAAATTTGCTCCTATAGACGTTAGTTTTCCCTCTCGAGGGCCTAAACTTCTAACTCTATATAGAGACGCTAATTTGCCTCCTCGAGCTATATACGTCTAGTATATAGGTCGGCTACGTAGGCCTCCGGCTAGGTAGGAGCCTCCTCGAAAGGAGTCTCTCCTAGGTTCCCGTCTACCTAGGCATTTGTAGAGCCCGATACTATCTCCTCGGAAGATTAGGTATCCTTGTCTACTTCGCCGATAACGCGGCCTGCCTATACTATAGCTACAGCGCGGTCGCGTTGCTATCGTAGGGCTATAGGACCTCTATAGATTACTACTCTTTAGAAGGATAGAAGAATTAGAAATATAAGAGTAGGGTATATATAGTAATATATAGAGCGTCCTTCCTACTACGTAGGAAAAGGAATAAACTAATTCTTATCCTTCGGAAAGGAGAGAGCGGCGTCGTATAATATACCCCTACGCTAAGTATATATAGGCGCTACGCCGCGCGGGCAGTCGCCCGATAGCTAATCGCCCGATAACTTGGATTATACTGCTTCTATAGCCCGTCCTGCCTTAGGCTAACGTTCCTTAGGCTCAAATACCTAACCGCCCTCTAGGGCTATATGCCTCTAGGCCTAGCTGTTATAATAGTCGATTATTAGATTAGTATAGACAGTTACTATGTCTAGCTTTTCAGCTTTTCTTATATAATTAAGCTAAGGGAGGTATATTTGGACAGAAGGATATAGGTACCCTAGCATTATATAATATAAGTTATATAAGATATTAGGGGCTATTTATTCCTTAGCGTTTGTAGGTAGAGTTAGGGATACCTACCCCCCTTACTTTTCTCTTCTTAATAGGTTAGACCTATATATTAATTGAACCTACTTTTCGGTTGGTACGGCTTTATCTCTATCTCAATTGGGCTAGTATAGTGTGTGGTTCCAACAGGATACTACCTACGCAGCGAACACTAACGGATGTCTGCATACATATAAGGTACTTTATATGTAAGGTACGGTATGCTCCCTCTAACACACTCTTTGGACCAGTATACATGTAGAGCTGCTGTCACTATCCTCGCCAAGTTATATTATTCAGGCAAATAACCACAAGCACGCTCTGAGCTACCTAGGTAGGTATATTCAAATTGACATTTTCCAGTATTTCATGCTCAACCTCCTACTGTTCTATAGCTTCAGAACACATACACTTGCTTACGAGCAATTTGCAATCCCGTCCGGCCCCGACTCATTCAAAGCCCAGCATCCATTGTAAGCACTCTTGCACGCATGGTCCTGTATCTCGATAATCAGCGATCGTCTCAAGCCTGAACATGACCCACTGACCTTAGTACACGACCAGGACTTGCCCTGGTCCTCTCCTCGTCCAATACAAAAGCCATACGGGTCCCCTGGCACTGGAGGTGCACAATTCTAGTCAATGTCAGTGTAGTTCCACACATGGCAGTCTCCAAAGCGTACTGTCCATGCCAGTACAGCCGGTATGGCTGTGGTAAAAAAGAAGAACTTTACGGAGACCATCTTGTAAAAATTCTAGGTAGAGAAAGGGCAGTGTGATGAACTGGAAATGAGCGACTCTTCCTTCTTTATAGGACACGAGGCGAGTAATACACGGAGACTCGCAATTCGGAACGAGAAGCAGCAGCACCGCACTAATTCTTCGTGAGTCAATCTGCTCACGGACTTCGGTAGAATCGTGCTCTATATGGCTTGTCTTCGACCCTTCTCCAAGATGCGGGTAGTCGGAGACGACTGGACCGCAGTCCTATCTCACGCCAACTTGTCTCAGTACCTTGGCGGATGCTCGCTTCTCCCGGAAACAATGCGATGTAGCACCGGCAGTTCTGAGATCTCCAAGACTAATACGAACTTGCCGACCTGGAAGTGATACAATTCACGTATTCCAAAGCACCCGGGCATGGCGGAGTCAAGCATCCTGGATCTAATTGCGAACGCTTGTAGCTCGTCAAATTCCTTGTCCTCGGGCGAGTCCTGATGCTGTAAGAAGACCTCATCCTCTTCTTTTGTGTCTCGGATGGCGAGAAATGTGGCGACCGATTGTGTGAATGAGATGGGAGGCCGTGAAGAGCAGGCTATAAGAGGAGGGAGAGTAAAGGACACAAACGTGAAACTTGAGAGAGAATGTATCGGCAATCCGGGAAAACCGTGAAGCCGACCAGAACAAGGCTTGGCATTCCAAAACAGCTTCTAATGCTTCAATGTACAACTGCCAAACACAATGCTGGGGGATTCCGCGATGGATTCTCTGCCCCGTTATGAGGAATGGTGCTGATTCATCATCATCTCATCCGCCACGGCTCATCGTGAAACGACCTCCAACATGGCCGCCTCATTTACAACAGGGGCATCCATCTTCATCGCCCTCCTTGTGTTCCGAACCATCAATTCTCAGCTCGTGTGGACATTCTTCCAGCCCGACGAGTACTTCCAGGCCCTGGAGCCAGCATGGAAACTTGCCTTTGGACCCAACAGCGGCGCCTGGCTCACCTGGGTTCGTACTGAGCACTCGACATATCTACGCGGCTACTGATATGTGTCGCCCAGGAATGGAGAGAGGGCCTGCGAACATCGGTTCACCCCTATTTGTTTGCGGCTGCATACAAAGCGGCTGCCAGCATATGCGAGCTTGTCCACTTACCTGAGCACTCCCGGGCGGCTGCTCTCGTTGCAGCACCACGGCTTCTGCAAGCTTTCTGGGCAGCGGCAATGGATTTCTTGACCTGGCGCATGGCTAGCACAGTCTACGGCTCTGGGCATGCAGCTGCGACCGCTGCGCTGGCTCTGACGATACTGAGTCCGTGGCAGTGGTTCTGTTCTGTCCGAACATTCTCCAACTCCTTGGAAGCGACTCTTACGACATGTTCCTTGTGCTACTTCCCATGGGCGTACTTCCTGGGACCATCTATGAACAAGACCACCAATCGAGCCAGTTTCGGAGCACATGAGTATGCCTCTCCAACAGGACTGTACATCGCACTTACGGCTGCGGCCGCCGCTTTTTACCTTCGACCCACCAACATCATTATATGGCTGAGCATCAGTGCATGCCTGGTGTGGTACAATCGTGATTTCGCCAGGGCTGTGACACTAATCCAGGCCGCAACGCTCGTGGGCATCACGATCGTGATAACTTTTGCGAGCGTTGACCGTATTTACTATAGTGGATGGACGTTCCCGCCGCTGCGATTTCTGCAGTTCAACGTTGTGCAGTCTCTGGCTGTGTTCTACGGGAAGAATCGACCGGACTATTATGTGACAGAAGGACTACCACTCCTACTTACTACGGCCCTACCTTTCGCATTGGTAGGTGTCTATCTAAGCCTGTGCAGAAGGTCCTCACATTCATCTCAAAGCATCATCCAGGAGCGGACGGTCTCCGTTTTTGCAGCCACAATCATCTCATCTGTGCTGGCATTATCTTTGATCGCGCACAAGGAAGTTCGATTCATCTACCCACTACTACCTATGCTGCATGTTTTGGCTGCACGACCACTGGCGTCTAGCTTTTCGACAAATAAAATCGGTCGACTGATGATTCTTGCTGCCGGCATTGCGATCAATATCTACATTGCTTACTATGTGAGCTTTGTGCACCAGCGAGGTGTTGTGGATGTCGTACACTATCTCCGCCACAGGCAAGAGTCTTGGCTCGATGCCTCGCCCATGGAGCATGCTACGGGGCCGGAATCAGCGAACATTACTGTGGGCTTTCTGATGCCATGTCACAGCACACCCTGGAGGAGCCACTTCGTCTATCCGGAGATCACTGCATGGGCACTAACATGCGAGCCACCGATCCATATGCCGACGGAGGAAAGAGCTTCATATCTGGACGAGGCAGATATCTTCTACAACGAGCCGCTCAGGTGGCTTGCGAACAACATGCAGGATCGTGATACCATTTCTCTAACAATAACTTCCGATGTGACAGGAGACCCATCGCTGGATGACAGGACACGTCGGCCATGGCCGCATTATCTCGTCGCGTTCGAAAGCTTGCAGCCCACACTGGCATCAGTCCTGAATGGGACTCGATACAAAGAGTGTAGGAGGTTCTTCAATACCCACTGGCATGACGACAGCAGACGGACAGGCGATGTGATTGTGTGGTGTATGCGACGATGATCCTCATTGACACAGGCTCTGAGGTCTAGACTGCGGCGGGTCTATAAAGTTGGGACAGGCCGAAGCGCCAGGTGCAGCATCTGAAGCAACTCTCTGGAGCAGCTCGAGGCCGCGGAGTGTAAATTGCTGGAGGCCAAACTCAAATGAAGCATTAATGTGGGGGATTGTGGGCCCAATCCCCGGCACCGGCCCTGTCAGGCGAGGACATGTGAAGACGGCACACTCTTCACATCCCGGGGACGCGACCATGTTGATGCCTTCCGTAGATACGGGTATTCGCACACATCGAAGCCTTGATCCGGCACGTGGAGGTACCCGCGATACATGATCAAGATTGCCATGAGTCTCTTTCGTCGACTCACCATGTGTTTCCTGATCTTCTCTCCTGTACGGTGTCGTTTTGACACTCCGCACACTCCCTCTCGCCTTCCCCTCGTTTCACCCCCTAATCTGCTCATCACAATCTTTGTGCGCAGTCTCGGCCGTTCAGACCGGGGTCGCCATCCGATCACCAAGCCTTCTCATTTGGACGCAGTCGCCTGTGGCGGAGCATACGTCGAATAGGAAAAGCTGTCAACAAGCAAAGTCGATCAAATGCGTGCAGTATGACGTCCCCAGCTCTTCGGAACAGTCCGCCAGCGTGGAATATGTGCATATGTGGCTCCCATCGAGTTCAGCTGCAACTACAACTGCCTCTGCGCGCGGGTCTGGAATGAAGCAAACTCGGATCCGAAGGACTGAAGGAAGCAGTTTAAGCCCTGCAAACCGAGGCATTTGGACCTCCAATTCGTGGTGAGAGTAGCTGACTTGGCTTGTTGGTCGTCGTGGTGTCCTTGGCGGATGATGGCAAGCGTGCCACGGTGTGTCGAAATCCGTGATCCTTCAGAGCTCCGAGGAGCTGCTGTGGTATAGCTCCCTTCAATTACCTCCTCTCTCTTACATTTGCTCTAAAACTTTGCAGTGTCAGGACCTGCCGCCTCCGCCTCGTCGAGAGGTGAGCCTACCTCCTACTTGGCACTTGGCTCTCTCACTGTGCATGTGTGCAGACGGGAACAGATACTTTGGTGGTCTGTGGCACTAGACTGTCTTCACGCGGGGAAGGCGAGCGGGAGGTCCCGTCGCGACGAATGCAATCACGTGGCGAGCTGCCAAGAGGAACATCGCGTTATACCTCGCCAGGGACATGGACATTACATGGACAGACATGGGACTTATCATCGTCACTAGCCCTGGAGGTGGCCCCAGTCGGCAAGCAGTGCAAGGACGCAAAGGCGTGCTTGGAAGACTTGCCAAGACACGCTGCCAGACTGGCTAGCCAAACTCAAAACCTTGAAAGCGTTAAGATGATATCTTGGCGTCCGGAACGGGGAGCACGTTGTCGTTAGCGTGCCTCCTACAGTCATCGGTAAGCTGGAGGTGTACCTCCTACCTAGGCTAGGAGGTATGATGGCGCCCTCTGACCACATTACGCTATCCTCCTCGGATGGCGTCGCTGCCGCCCTCAACCCTAAACGGTGCCCATTGCCCAGCTGTGCCAATTCCGTGGCTTCTCAAATACCGTCAACCGACTCAACCGTCTCTCCCTCTGGCGAGTCTGGTGCGAGGTAATGAGGATGAGGTACCTCCTCCCTCCAAGCGGAGCGGGCGAGCGTTGCTGCTGATTCACCACTACCCGCCCGCACCTGGCCTTGGCAACAATGACCGCGCCTTTCATCTGGGCACGGGCACACGCGCGGTTGAGATGAGTGAGGCGTTGCCCAGAACTCCCCATCATCCTTCCCCTGTTCGTTGCCTGTCGACGGCACTGGCACTGGCAGAGGCTCAGACCATACCAAAGCATATCCCATCTCACATGTAGCCTGATGTAGCATACTTGTACCCACTAGTCATTGCTACCGGCTTGGCTATTGCTGTGCGGGAGACTGAGGAGACTGGCATCTCACGACCCAGATATAAGTAGCCGCTCTTCGCTGTTGTGTTGGCTCGCTCATCCTGCACTCCACTACCTCTCCTCCTCCCTGGCATCCCGACTACCTGACCTGACCTACATCCACCTCCTACCAATCAGAATCCTCCAGCAGTCATCATGAAGACCTCAGTGATCCTCACCTCTTTGCTCGCCGGCCTGGCCATGGCCCTCCCAGAGCCAACCAAGAAGGAGTACAAGGGCACACCAGCAAAGCCCAAATACGACGACGTGAGCATCGCCCACCGCCTCTCATCGCATTGAGCATCACGAATTGTACTAACAGCAACACAGGACTGTGACTCCAAGGGCTACACCAAGGGTGCCAAGGGATTCCCCATCCCATTCACCAGCACCTACCGAGTGAAGGCTGTTCCCGGTGAGGTCGTCAACGCGAACAACACCCTCACCGGCGGTCTCCCTGGCGCCGTGGGATTCTACGACTTTGGCATCAACACGGAGCTCGAGACCATCTGCTACTACATCCGCCTCTACAACGTCCGTGGCGAATACTTCTCGCCCGCTCGCACCGCAACGCACGTTCACGCTGGTGTCAAGGGCATGACCGGCCCACCACGACTTGCATTCCCCAACCCACAGCCCGTGGCGGGTAAGAACTACCGCGTGTCGGTCGGCTGCATGACCGGACCCTTCACCACCGGTCTGACCAACAACTCTACTGGTACGCCCGTCGACACTGGAGTTGGCTTCACGCTTTCCCAAATCGAGGCCAACCCCAAGGGATTCAACGCCGATTTCCACACCAACTTCACGGACATGGCCCAGGGCATCAACGCTGTGCCAGGTGCTGCCCGTGGTCAGCTCGCATAGACGAACATGATGAGGGAGTGCGGTACGGAAGTCGAGGAATATGCATGGTCGGGAGAACAGCCGGACACTGCATCGAATGTCAATGACAGTTTCTATCATCGTCGAAGCAGGTAATCTGCCGTGCTCGCCGAGTTTCGTACTTTTTTCCATCTTCCTTGCGCAGCAAAACCGAGGGGGATGTATTTGTTTTAGAGATATTGGACATAATGTATACTGTACCAATTGTCAACAGATCTTTCCATTTTCACTTGGAGCACCTCGCTCTGCATATCTGATAGAGTAATGATGATTTCTCTATTAGCATTGTAGCCAGACCAATGATGAGGATGATGATGATGACGATGATGATGATGATGCTGACGACCATGAAGATGATGACGACCATGATGATACCTGGTATATATACAATGACTTTGTACAGTGTTCCTCCGAGCCCCAACATCCATCAGCCCGAAAATATTCCATGTACATGTATGTACCGTACCCAAGGTAAACTTTACCCCCCCGCCCTTCTCCAAGAAGCGAAAAGTATTGCGTACGACGACTCTCTCTCTCTCTCTCTCATGACAGCCTATCTATTTCACCGAGCCGATGGTGTAAACTTTCTTTCTTCTTCGCTTCTTTCGCTTCTTCACTTTTTCCCTAGGGTAAAACCTATGATCCTAGCCCTAGCCCCAGCTCCAGCTTGAGCCCCTACCCTCCAAAAAAAAAGTGTTATGTAGCTACTGAAGTCTCTACATTCCTTTATGCATAATAGTATTATTGAGTTACAGGTACATGTATTGGTTGGGTAGGTAGGTACATTGTTTTTTTTTCCTCTCTCTTTTTTTAATACGGTAATAGGAAGGGAAGGGGACGAAAGGCTAGAAAGGGACAAGAGAAATTGGCAGGGCTAGCTAGATAGGTCAGGCAGCTAGGTACGCTCGCTAGACTCGGATAGGTGAACTCCCGCGTAATTATATATATAACCTTGGTTTGACTCCGACTAGGTCTTACAAGTACATATACTGCTCCGTATTGTTGTTATTGAACTTCTTCTTGTTGTTGTTGTTGTTGTTGTTGTTGTTGTTGGTGGTGGTGGTGGTGTTGTTGCTGTTGTTGCTGTTGTTGCTGTTGTTGCTGTTGCTGCTGTTGTTAATGATAGTAATTGTTGATAATAGTAGCAATAGTAATAACATACTGGGCAAAGTCGTAACTAAGCCTAGGCAGTATAGTCTACCTAATGCTCGTATCGTAGGTACCATCAGTATATAAGGTGATCGAGATGCCAAGCATACTCCGAGCCTACAGGAGCAGTAGGTATTCTAGAGCTTATACCTTCAACAACTACATGTACCGCCCTCTACCGGCTCTCCGACTGTATGTAATCAGAATTGTTAACGAGAGTGTAATCGGATCTTGATCCCGACCAACAAGTAGAGGTACCTGAGGTTTCCTGAGGTAAGGCACTCCGCACTCGCCGGCACTACTTAGCCGAGCTAGAACAAGTTAACAACTACTAGGTACCTAGGTATGTACACGTAAGGTAGGTACCTTAGGTAAGGTACATACGCGAGCATGTGACGGCGGCTTCCATTGAGCTGGGGCCATTTCGCATTACTCTACTGGGTAATAATGCGTATCGGGGTAGTAAAGAATTACTTTACATACCGGATATCCATCAAATCCTACCTAACATACATGTACAGGATATGGAAACAGGCACTCCAATGGCCTCCATCCACCTCCCGCCTACGCAACACTCCAATGGCATCAATTCACCATCATCCCTTCATCTACATGTAGTCGCTGTGGAGCTGTGGAGGTGACCCGCTCCGACGTGAACCACTTCCCGGCTTCCCAGATACGACTCTTCCTTCTTCTTCAACATCTTCTTCCTCGTCAACCTCTTTTCTACCTCTCCCACCCACCCCTTTCCATCCGTTGTCTGCTCTGCCTGTTCTCTATTCCGCACATAGAGAAGCATGGCAGCTCGGAGTCGTGGACGTACCGCGCTTCGGTACCTCGGAGCAGCCACCGCTGTCGGCGCAGTGGGCGCCGGCACCTTGTACTTCGTCTATCGACCGCGAGATGTGCCCGGCTTGGAAGCTGCCGCTGTACCACCCCCGACCTATGGCGAAGGTGGCGTCTTCCGCCCACCCAACTTCCCGCGCGTCAAGAGCAGGAGTGAGCAGATTGCAGATCTGAAGGCGAGTGCGGGTTCAGCTTTCGCCCTCGCCAAGGACAAGGTCAAGGGAGCACTGGGCGGCGAGGTGCAGACACGAAGCGAGGATGGCAACAACAACGAGTATGACCTGCTGGTCATTGGCGGTGGTGCGACGGGAACCGGCATTGCGCTTGATGCGGCATCGCGTGGTCTGAAGGTCGCGCTGGTGGAGAGGGACGATTTCGCATCGGGCACCAGCAGCAAGAGCACCAAACTCGTCCACGGGGGAGTGCGCTATCTCGAGAAAGCCGTCTTCGAACTGGACTATAGCCAATACAAACTGGTCAAGGAAGCCCTTCGCGAGCGGAGATACTTCCTCGACACCGCACCGCATCTTTCGCAATGGCTCCCGATCATGATTCCCGTCAACAAGTGGTGGCAGGCGCCATATTTCTGGGCGGGGACCAAGTTCTACGACTTTCTGGCGGGCTCCGAGAACATTGAGACTTCGTACTTCTTGACCAAGAGTAAGGCGCTGGATGCCTTTCCAATGCTCAAGCGAGACAATCTCTGGGGCGCTTTGGTGTACTACGATGGCGCACACAATGATTCGCGAATGAACGCTTCTCTGGCCATGACCGCTGCGCTGTACGGCGCCACTCTGGTGAACCACATGGAAGTGACTAGCCTCGAAAAGGACGCCAATGGCAAGCTCTGCGGTGCGAGGGTCAAGGATCTCGTGCAGCAAAAGGACGGCAAGACTCCCGACGAGTTCTCCATCAAGGCCAAGGGCATCATCAACGCTACAGGACCTTTCACGGACGCGATTCGCAAGATGGACAACCAGGAAGTGTCGGAGATTGTCGCGCCTAGCTCCGGAGTTCACGTCATCCTGCCTGGATACTACTCGCCTTCCAACATGGGCCTGATCGACCCTCGCACTTCGGACGGCCGTGTCATCTTCTTCCTGCCATGGCAAGGGAACACCATCGCAGGGACCACTGATTCGCCGTGCCCCATCGAACAAAACCCCATTGCGCAAGAGAATGAGATTGACTGGATCTTGAAGGAAGTACAGAACTACTTGCAACCGGAGATCAATGTGCGCCGCGGTGATGTTCTGGCTGCCTGGTCTGGCATCCGTCCTCTCGTTCGCGACCCGAACAAGGCCAAATCCGAGGGTCTGGTTCGCAATCACCTGGTGACCACTTCTGAGTCGGGCTTGCTCACCATCTCTGGTGGCAAATGGACCACCTACCGCCAAATGGCTGAAGAAGCTGTCGACGAGGCCATCGCACATTTCGGCCTGAAAGCAACAGGCGTTTCCAAACCACCTCTCGTGTCCGGTGTACAAGGCTTCCACGAGGACCTTGAGCTGGATGGATCTTGTCAAACACATGCTCTACGCTTGATTGGCGCTCACGGCTTCTCCAAGACGCTCTTCATCAACATCATCCAGCACTATGGTATTGAGACCGAAGTCGCCAAGCACTTGTGCGTGGATTATGGTGACAGAGCCTGGACTGTCGCGGCTCTGTGCGAACCTACTGAACACCGCTTTCCAGTGCGCGGCACGCGAATCTCGGAGTTGTACCCATATGTCGATGGCGAGGTACGCTACGCGGTCCGTCACGAGTATGCCCAGACTGCGGTGGACGTGCTTGCGCGAAGAACAAGACTGGCTTTCCTGAACGCACAAGCGACGGTGGAAGCTCTACCCAAGGTCATTGACATTATGGCGGAAGAACTCAAGTGGAGCAAGCAACGCAAGGAGAAGGAATGGAAGGATACCATGCTCTTCCTCGGCTCCATGGGTCTGCCCAAGTCCAAGCAGGCGCTGTCCAGGAAAGAAGTCGAAGCAGGACGTGTTGGACAGTACGAGGATGAGGAGTGGAAGCTATATGCGAGACATGGTAAGTGTATCGGACCAAAGAGGCGTGGACGACGGCCCATTACTGACTTTGTGAGCGACAGACAAACCGGATGAGGTTCTCGCTTCCGATGCTTCCAACCCTACGATCAGCAAGGACAGCCCCGCGAACGCATAAAGAAAAAAGCGTTCACGAATGTAGTAGAGAAAGCCTTTTGTATAACCACAGATGACGAGCGCAGCAGGACTGATGTTCTGTATGGCGCGCACGAGGCACCCAGTTGTGCGGTGCGGTGCGGTGCGGTGCTGGAGCACATGAGAGAATATATACCTTTTATACATGATTGCCACAGACAAGAGCAAAGCCCAAAAAGCGATTCCCGTTCTTTAATTTTGCTCGCATCACGCAAGGTTAGTTAGATGTGCTGGCTTTTTCTTTTCTTTTCTTTTCTTTTCTTTTCTTTTCTTTTCTTTTCTTTTCTTTTCTTTTCTTTTCTTTTCTTTTCTTTTCCTTCTCCCCTTTCTTTTTTCCCCCTTCTTTTTCGTTCCAAACTCATCATCTGTCAGCGTCGTGAGATGATGGAGGAGGCAGGCAGGCATGCCTGACTCTTCTTCCTTCCTCTGGCTTTGCTTCGAGCTACAATGTACATACTACATACTCCTCCCAAGTCGTCACTGTCATCGGCCTATGCCCTCCCACCTCTGCACCATGCTGTAATGTCGGTACTCGATCGACATCAGTCCCATCCATGCTTGTCGATTTGTTTTTTTAATTTATTACACACCAGTAAATCACACCAACACACACACACACACACACACAGGGAGAGATGGATGGATGGATGGATGGATGGTACATGTAAACCCCCCAAAAAAGGGTGGGAAAAGACAGTAAGTACCTTAGGTAGGCAGTCAAATACAGAGTTTTTCCCGCCAGGGCTCCCTCCCTCGGCACCATCTTTGAGAAGAGAGAGGGGGTTTTTTGGTTTCTCGCATCGCAACAGGCCGCAACCAAAGAAGCGGCTCATAGCGCGAGGAAACTAAAAAAAGAAAACAACCTCTCTCTTCTCTCCGGTACCAAGGTCGAGCCCACAAAAGGCATGGCCACGGCCCTCAGCGGCAATGGCAAGCGTTTGTTCGTCCCCTACGGTAAGTAGTTAGGTAGGTAGGTATGTACCCTGATTCTTCTTTTCTACAAGTGCGCGCGGCGCATGACAAATGGTATCCCATTTCCCTCATGAAAGAAAAAACGCCAAATGTCCAGAATTCATTCCCCTTTTTTTGCGTCGCCCCCCTGAGCAATCCCCACTTCGCAAGTCGTGTCCTGTATAGTCAGTATTCTTTGCGAGGCTCCCATGGCTTGACGTAGGGTGGTTACTCTCCTCGCCAGCAGTACCTGAGTATTTGGTTTCTCAGAGGTACAAACTTTGCGCGGCAACAATGTCCCTCCTGACTTTTCCGAGCGCGCCCTCGAACTTCTTTTCCAGGTCTTCCGAGCCCATGACTTTGGAAGCCTGAGCCATCTGGCGTAATAGTTCTTCGAGACGGCGGAAAAGGCGGATGAGGGAGCCTTCGTAGACGTCGGTCATTTTGCTGCAAGTTCACATGGCACGTTAGTATAGATGGACTCGGCTGCGAATAGAAAACAAAACAGAAAGACACTCACCAAATCTCGGCAAAACTTGCCCCATTACACCAAGAAAACACCACATCCATCAACTGATGCTTGAAACCTTGAATGTATTCCTCTTCATTGACCAGAACTTTACACTCCATAGAGACCTTGGCAATCTGCCGTGCTTGGGCTTGGATTTCTCGGAAAGCTTTGGCCAAGTCTTCCTTGAGTGCCGGGGCCTCGTCACTCTTCTCTTCAAAGATGAAGACGGAGAGTGTCGCCGCGCACTGCTCGGGAGTAAGTTCGTTGAAGAAGCGATTGAAGAGAAGTTCGGAGAGGACAAGCTCGTCTCCAGTGGAAATCTCACACGCAACACGCGCCTTGAGCTGGACGACATCGGCCTCGTTGACGAATCCGAGACGACGCAGAACACGCTTGCGGTTCTTGAGCTCATCCAGTTGAAGAACCGAAAGCGCATCAGTCATCTTCTTTCGAGTCGCCTTGATCTCGTTGGTGATTTCAATCTTTGCTGCATACCGATCGTACAGATCCGGTAGTTTGTCGCTCGTATGCAGAGGATTGTTGAGGAGCTTGTGTTCGAGCACTTCGATCTTGCGCAATAGTTTCTTGAAGCTGTCGTCATCGATACCCATGTTCTCGATAGGGTCAAGCACAGCCACGCCGTCGGGGAAGCGTCTAGCGACCTCTTCAAGCGACTTCCGGACAGTGTTACGCTGCTCAGAGGTCCGGAGATCGTTTGGCAGGAAGACCCTGATATGGCCGACAGCATCAATGGTTCCATTCATCACCGGTACAACCTCCATCTTGCCCTTTTCGCCCGGCTCGCAGGGTCGGACTTCTTTCGGCATGTCGTCCCTGAGCTGGCTGGACGTGCCGGGCGCGGAGCTGTCAGCTGCAATGTTGAGCAGCACATCAATGACGACAGAATGGCCGATATTCATGTCGTCCTCGCTCTGGCCCCGGGCCGGCTTGACTTTCATAAAGTTGACTACAACGCCCCAGCCAAAGTCCTGACCGTTATGCTTGACCTTGACCAGTCGACCAGATTGCATGAACTTGCACAAGTACTGCGGGTGGCTGATGACCTTTTTCATGTCGGAAGAGTACGTTTCAAGACTCTGCCGCAAGTCGTAATACTCCTTGATCTGGGCTTCATCTTCGATCACGGCATCGGCACGCTTCTGCTCCAGCTCCATGAGTTGTTTCTCGATGCTTGAAACGGAAGCTGCATTTTGAAATTGGAAAAAGCAACGCTCCAGCATGAACTCGGGGCTGATGCCTTCCACTCGCATCAGATTGAGAATCATGTTGTAGCCCAGATAAAAGGCAGAATTCAGCTTGTCCTGCTCACCCTTGACAATCTCCTTGGCCACAGGCGGGTCCATCTTTTCATCGATCATCATGATCACGATACCACGCTCATCGAGACCTCTGCGACCAGCACGTCCCGACATTTGAATGAACTCCGATGGTGTCACCCATCTCAGTTCTCGACCATCGAATTTACGAACAGCGGTGAAGACGACCGTCTTGGCAGGCATGTTGAGGCCGATGGAGAAGGTCTCTGTGGCGAATAAGACCTTGATGAGACCTTCCTGGAATAGAATTTCAATGGTCTCCTTGAGGATGGGCAGCAGACCGGAGTGATGAATGCCGATACCACGGCGAAGCAGTGGCAGAATATGCTGAATCTGTGGGAGCTGCTTGTCCTCGTCTGACAACATCTCAATGGCCGAATCAAAGACTTTGGAGACCATGGCCTTTTCCGACTCATCATTGAAGGCCAGCTGTGACATTTGTAGAGCGTAATTTTCGCAATCTCGCTTGGAGAAGGAGAAGACGATGACGGGGTTGTAGTTCTTCAGCATGATCATCTTAACGATCTTGTAAATGTCCGTCGGGCCATCCTTCTTCCCTCCTTTATTGGTCTTTTTGTCCTTGCCTCTGCCTTTGCGCTTGGCTAAAGGATCCGAGCCATCATCACCCGCCTTGTCTGCTATGGCTGCCATGGCCTTGTTGAAATTCTCTTCGCGAAATACGCCCTTTTCGTCGACGATGAGGTGAATGCCATCGGCGCTGGCGGGAAAGAAGTAGTGCTGGAGTGGTGTGGGTCGGAAGTCGGTGTACACAACGTGACAGGGCTGGTTGTGTATCTTGGTGATCCACTCGGCGAACTGCATAGCGTTGGGGATTGTGGCAGATAGGAAGACGTATCGAACCTTGTCGGGAAGCAAAATGATGGTCTCTTCCCACACCACACCTCGTGCTCGGTCGCGCATGTAGTGCACCTCATCAAACACTACCCAAGCCACCTCGCGCATGATCTCACTTCCACGATACAGCATAGAGCGCAGAATCTCGGTAGTCATGACCAGACATGTTGCAGTGGGGTTGATGGTGACGTCTCCCGTCATTAGGCCGCAATCACCAAACTCGGCATTGAATTCGCGGTACTTTTGGTTGCTGAGAGCCTTGATGGGACTAGTATAGATGACTCGCTGATTGTTCTTGAGACATTGCGCGATGGCATACTCTGCCACGACCGTCTTGCCAGCCGAAGTGTGCGCCGACACCAAGACACTCTCGTTGCGCTCGATCGAGGCCACTGACACTTCCTGAAAGGGATCGAGGGTGAAGGGGAAGACCTTGGCGGGGTGTTCGGGCCGCTTGTGCTGCGAGATGGGCACATAATCGCAGTCGGGCGGAAGCGATACTTGATGGCGCACTTGATGTTTGAGAGTCACGGCGGCGCTTCCATCTTGCTGCGCCTGGAGTCCTGCAGAGGCGGCCACCTCTCGCTGCTGTTCCGTCTCGAACTCGTCCGTCACGACTGCGTCCGGCGCATCTTCCATTCGCTGGCGCTTTTGTCCCCGTTGCCCCTCTTCCTGCTCCCCATTTGCCTCGTCGTCGCCGTTGCCCTTCTTATCGCCGCCTTTTGCTGCTACAGTGTTTGCAAAGTCCTTCGTCTCGACCGGAGCGTCTGCCATGACCGAGTCGCCGCCATTCTGTTTGACATTGCCGTTGAGCGATCTTTTTAGATTCGTTTTGTTGCTGTTAGCAGGCTGCGGTTTGTCGTCGAATACGTTGAATAGGTCGTCATCCATAGTTGCGCAAGTGGACTAGACCGGAGAGTCGAATGGTTGTAGTAGTAGGTCGATGTTGCGACGGCCTCGTCAAAAGGTAGGAGGTATATAGATAGAGAGAAGATCCCAAAGTGAATTGAGCGGGAGCGGCCCGACGGAAGGCGGGTAATCCCGAAATAGAGTACGGCATGGCAACTCCGCCTCTGCCTCCGCCTCCAAGTTTCCATCCTCCATCCTCCATCCTCCCGCTTCTATCTTCTACGTACATGTATCTTCCATATCCGCCCACGATTCTGCTCATCTAATTTAGTCCATCTGATGCTATTGCGAGGCGTAGACACGGGAGAGGATGGCTGCCGCTGATGGTGCTCTGTGGACGCCTGTCAGCCTTCGTCAGCCTTCTGCTGCTGGTCGATACTAAAGTGGTGATCATGGGCCGGATGGCATATGCGCAGCTTACGCAGTTGGGCTGATGGACTGCTACATGTATCTGATGCTACCCACACTACCTATCTGTATCTGTCGAGTCCGCAGAGTCTCTCTCTCTGTTGCTCCCTTTTCCTCTCTTCCTCTCGCCCCCATCCAGCACTATACACTCTACCTCTTAGGGACAGATTGTTGTCACCATTCCCAGAGCTAGTCCTGTAATCACGCTCATGACATGGACGTGCAATTGATTTTCGCCGTTGCCACCGGTTCTCTAGCGGTATGCTCGTTGAGCATCCTATCTATCGTCTTCTTCGTGCGTCGAAAACGTCGTCGAGAAATGGCGAAGCAGCAGATTCCCGCAACTCAGATCTTCCACCTCCCTCCCAAGATTCGACTGAGTGGTGGCGACGATGACCTCCAACGACCACGAGATCCTCCTATACAAGACGTGGCCCAGTTCCGCCCACGTATGAGCCACACGCCAACCATGCACTCCATGTCGACAGGGAGTCCCATCCTGTCGCCCATGTCCAGATACTCTACAGACACTACCGCTACCTATCACCGCAACAGCTTATCCCGCACGTCCACCATGACCAACAACAACAACAACAACAACAACAACATCCAGCAATATCATGGTCACCTTGCCCCCACTCCACACTGGTCATCACCGCCTATCTTCCCAGCCAGCCTTATGCCTGGCTCCAGAACCAATCTGGAAGCAGCAAACAGCTGGCTTCCCCCTTCACCACCACCCGCACTAGACACAGATGTGAGACGAATGTCTTACGAAGCAAGTCCCCTTCAACAACACGACCCGGCTCATCAACTCTCCGCGCCACTAGGACCACTCCACCCCCATCCATCGAGCAATAGACGCCTCACAATAGACACGCCTCCATACGCATCCCATGCTTCATTACATAGTATCTCAGAGCGTAATGCTTCTTATCCTCCTCCTCCTCCTCCTCCTCCTCCTCCTCCTCCTCCTCCACTGCCAGTGCACACGGCTACGAATCAACGATACTATAATGCCAAGAACGGAACGAGAGAAACCCTCGTGCATATCGAAGGAACGCAGAATGCACTGCCGGAGCTCTACGGGAGTGAACCTACCGCTGTCGGCGGGAGGGGCAGGATGAAGGAGCGGTTGCGGAGGAGTCGATAAATGGTACCTGAGACGAGGATTGGAATTGAGGATCACTTTTCATGAGTAGGTACCTTAGTATGCAGGAAAACACCATCGTGTTCGAGGGACTTTTTTTTTGAATCTTCTGGAAACATGTCGAGCTACAAAAAAGATGGAACGGGCCAGTCTGAAATTCTCCCGTAAAAATCCTATACACTCTTGTGATCCCTCACCCCCGCCCCGCCTCTTCTCCTTTCCCCTTCTTCGGAGTAATCTCCGAACACACTTATTCCCGCACGCATTTCAACCAACTCCAAAACAGAACTCGCATTTCTCTCAAAAGCATATACATTGCATATGCATATGCATGTGCATAAACATATAATCCCTCCCTCCCTCCTTGACAAATCGCCCTCAAAACACAGCTATGACTAAAAACGGAGTCTCCCTCCTCTTCTCCCGAATCAGGCTGCTGGAGAAGAACTGCATGCAGACGAAAGTAGCAAGAAGACTAAGGAAAAGGGAAAGGTGCCTTCGTGCAGTGCAGTGCAGTCACGTAGTTGTACAGCGTAAAACTTTAAAAAAAGCATTTATGTATGTATGTATGGTCTATGATATCGAAGATTTCGTGTTTGGCTTTGGAACTACTGTAAGATCTAACATCTTTCCCCGAGCGAATTGAATTGGGGGTTGGGTCTTGCTGCTCGTCCGGGATGTTTTTTTTTTTTGATCTGATGCGTCTAATTGTCTCTATCTACATGTAACTATATTGGAATGTGACTGGTGCCTTTTGACTCATGTAGGAGAGGGGGGGG